CAATTTAAACATTTAACTTTTGAAGATATATTAAATTCAGGAAGGAAGATAGCTTTAAAGTAGAGGATAATTTTATTCGCTTCCCACTCTCATTTCATTGTTGTCTTTATTATGTTTATATTGTCATACGTTACAATTTTATACAACAAATTATATAATTAGAAAGCATATGTTCCATTATTCCATTCACACTTCTCACATTCAAAGAAATATCCTCTTGCATATGTCAGCTAAATCATCTTCCCCTGTTTTGTCCCACTTGATATTTATAAATAATTAGATTTTGGTGCAGCTTTTTATACTTGGTAATACCTTTTCTCCTCGAATAAAACGACTAAATATATTCAGTTTTAACAGGTGGCAATACGATATTAAATTGCAATAAGTACATAATTATTCATAGATTAATAATAACAATAAAATCAGTTTCACGTATTAATATTGAAATGAATTTTGACTTTCTCTCGTTACTTCATGTATAATACTCTTATTATTTTCGGGATGTTTAATGTAAAAGTTATTTTGACTTTTAATTTGATACTAAATATAAAACTCTAATTCATTTTGTTTTTTATATTTATCTATTTTTTTTAAGTATTCATTGTAATAGTTGTACATGTTAAAAATTTCAACAAATGGTAGTTTAGCTAATATATATGATTAACAAGAGTATTTTTGGAGCAACAACACCTGTTTATTACAAATAACTACCTTAATAAATTTTTTCAATTTATCTAAATTAGTCAGCTAATTCTTATATTAAGTACGAGAGATAATATTTATTGCTGAATTATGAGGAGAAACAAATAAGAGGAAAGAAACGACGAAAGTAGAGCACGAGTTATGCATCTGCATATAACAGAAGAATTGATAGAATCAAAAACAAATGGTCAATTTGACGGTTTTGACCCAAAAAAAAAGGTCAAGAAAAAAGGAAAATGAAGTTGTAAATGATCAATCATGTTCCCATATAAAAATCAGATTAAACTGCAGGCACGTGATAAGAGAAAATTATAGAGATCTTATTAAAAATAAAAAAAAATTATAATGACATCAAAAAAAATTACTGCGACTTGATTAAAAATTAATTTTCTTGAAAAATAATATTCCTTGTAATGGATTTAGGTCCGATTCTGGATAAGTTGCTATGAAAAAAGTGAGACTATAATTTGAATTCAGAAAAGGTCGAAACAATTGATTTTGAAATAAAAATAGAGATGGTGGAGGCTTAGTTGGAAAAAAGAGGCTTTGGGACTGTCTTGATGGCCATTTTCCACACAACATATATCACAGAATAACTTTATGAAGGTGACAACAAATGGGTTAGCTCATTAAAGTTGAATAATTACAAGAAATTTTAAAAGTTATTTTGACTTTTTAAAACATCGCTATGTGAGAAGACACAATCATATTATTAGGTGTGAATGAGTAGGTTAGGGCAGTTTCATGGATGTTACTAGGAATGATAAGTTTTTGCTTTTTACTTTTCAAAACTAATATTGGTTGCTCCCCCTCCACTGTTTTTGTCTACTCTAAATAGCCCAAAGTCCTTCTGAGGAACAAATTTTTTAAAGTTGGGCTAGCCCAACAGGTTAATCATTTTCGGCTGACATTGCCCAATAACCTTTTGGGTCAGGAAATCCGGCCCAATAGTCTAATATTACTTTCAGTTCTAATGATAAAACCTCATTTGTAGTCTATAAAAAAAAGTCTTATAATTAAGACCGGAGTAGTATCATTCCATATCTTACGGTCCAAAAAATTATTGTATTAGTATGATCGAAATATTATTCGCTATATCTATAATGGATTGAATGGTTTTTTTTCCCCAAAAAAACAATTGTTACATTAACCATATCCGCATGTGAATCATTTTCAGGAAGAAAAAAGTGCCAATTATACTGGCAAAAATGTTTAAATTACACATTGTATAAGAAAATACATAAATTACACACACACACACACAATTGAATTTTAAAATTATTTAAAACGCGTTCAATTTGTTTTCTGGTTTTATAAGGGGCAAGTGCATTCAATTTTTTAATTTAAATGTTTAGATACATTCTATAGACTTAATTTGCATCACTGAAAGAAAAAAAAGCCTAAACTCATGCCCCCTTTTATCCATACAAATTGAATTTATACCCTAACCACAAAAAAGGCATCATAAAGAGGAGTGTAACAATTAACTGAGTTTTGAGCGACAATTTTCAAATCAAATCATATAGGGAAAAAAAAAAGTATTATGAGATTATCACGAATAATGACTAAAAAAAAGTCTGAATAGGGGTGAGCGCAGGATTCACTTCTTGCACATATCCGTTTTCATCTTTGTTCTTTTTTATTTTTGGTAAAATGACAATTTGTTATTTATTCCTCCGGTTAACAGTTACCTGGACCAGACGTTATTGGGCTTTCCCAGATCAGGAGCCCAATAACGTGCCCAACTAACAAGCCAAAAAAAAAATGAAAATACAAGGAAAATCCAACTAACCAAACAAGATGACCAAATCCAATTTTTTTTTAAAAAAATCATAGTTCAGTTATAATATTTTAAAAAATTATTATTATAAACGTAAATGAATAAGTTTCAAATTGTTGAAATAATGATTTACACAGTTCATAATAATACATGCAAAATTTGGAAAAAAAAATGGTTTATAAAATATCATAATTTACTTTTTTTGGTATCAGAGTGCTAGGGTTAACTACCATGGCTAAAAGCTCCATTGAGAATTCCACAGCCTCCAAAACATCTTCTGAGTCCGAATCACTTGCCTTTACTGCTGCATTACCAAAGCAACAGTCTGGAAATAGCATCAATCAAAGTTGCTCTATCAAGCTGGATGGAACGAATTATCTGGTATGGCAAACACATGTTCTCCCTATCAAGGGACATAAACTGGAGGGCTTCCTCAATGGCACCAAGGTGTTGCCCCTCTCAATTTATACTGTTGACGGTGAGAGTAAGCTGAACCTGGATTTTGAAGATTGGGTTGCAATATATCAGCTTTTATTTGGCTGATAACTGAATACCATAACACTGGAGATTTCCTCCCAAATGGTCTTCTTGATGGCCATTTACAACAAATGGGCTAAGCTCATTGAAGTTGAATAATTCCAAGAAATTTTAAAAGTTATTTTGAATTTTTTAGACATCGCTATGTGAGAAGACACAATCATATTATCAGGTGTGAATGAGCAGGTTAGGGCAGCTTCATGGAAAATGTTATTAGAAATGATGAGTTTTTACTTTCCAAAACTAATGTTGGTTGTTTCCCCTCCGCTGTTGCCGTCTACTCCAAATAGCCCAAAGTCCTTCCGAGGAACAAATATTTTAAAGTTGGGCTAGCCCAACAGGTTGATAACATTCTTCTCAGTTGCCCAATAAAAGTTTGGGTCAGGAAATCCGGCCCAATAGTCTAATAGATCATTCCATATCTTACGATCCAAAATATTATTGTATTAGATTAATTTTTTTTCACCGGGCATTGTATTAGTATGATTGAAATATATTCGCTATACCTACGGAGTTGGGTTTAACAAAAAAAATTAGTCTCTTATAATATAGCGAATCAAGATTAAAATTCTCGCTCAGAAAGATTCTCACATTTAGTGCCTAACAGTGTTTCGTACAGGATTTTCCAAAAACAATTGTTACATTAACCATATCCACATGTGAATCATTTTCAGGCAGAAAAAAGTGCCAATTATACTGGCAAAAATGTTTAAATTACACATTGTATAAGAACATATTTAAATTACACACACAGTTGAATTTTTAAATTAATTAAAGCGCGTTCTTTTTTTTTTTCCTGGTTTTATAAGGGGCAAGTGCATTCAATTTTTTAATTTAAATGTTTAGTTACGTTCTATAAACTTAATTTGAATCACTGAAAAAAAAAATTTCTAAACTCACGCCCCCTTTTGTCCACACAAATTGAATTTATGCCCTAACCATAAAAAAGCACCATAAAGAGGAGTGCAACAATTAACTGACCTTTTGACGACAATTTTCAAATCAATATAACGATAAGCTTCCCAATCTTTTGTAAGTTGTAACGGGGAAGACATCTGTGGTTAAAAAACACAACAAATTTCATTTTAATAAAAAAACCTGTTACTTTAATTTTTGTCTGATTAAAAGCAGTTGCCAATAATTGGAAAAAGAAAACTTGCCAATAAATATTGTTGTTGAATAATGCCAGGATTATTTAGATTTTTTTTTCAAATTAGCCAAATTTTTTATAGAATCATTTTATTTGTGTCAAATAAAATTATTTTTTTATAAAAAAGAACAATTAATGCCAGGATTATCAAGCTGGGTCCGCATCTCGGGGCCATTATTGACTATCGCCACCTTCGTCCTCCAGCATTCCATGAGATAAGAATGGACGGCCAGATTATATTGAGACGAACGGCTGCGGTTTCTCCTCTTTTATGAGAACGGTGCGTTTCATTGATGAGTGGGTTGGCGAGCTACCATTGCTTCTCCTTGCCCGATCGTGATCGGATGGGTTTCCACTTTCCATAAACCCTATTCCTGTGTCACTGGCACCTTAATTCTGGAGATCCGGTTCGTAGTTTCATCTATGGCGCTCCAAGGAACTGCCACCTTCACCTTCAGTGTAAGCTTCCATTTCTGTTTCCCCTAAAAACTTACTTCTAATGGCTCTATCGCTATGAGAAGCATCTCAAATATTTCACTTTTCAGAAACTCCTGTGCAATGATGGAAGAGGATTTGGGTTCTGACGAACCTATTGAATGATTAATTGAAGTGTTGAGTTTGGACATGAATACTTGATATTTTGGCAGAATTTAATCTTCAAGTTCCATGACTCTTGTTGCTTCGATGATTTGATTGTTGACTCTGTTGGAATATGGGATATAATATTATAATTCGTATCTACTCAAGTTTCTTAATAGCTGGGTTGATTACACCGCAAAAAATTTTATTTAATATATCGCTGAAAATTATGTTTCTTTTTGTCTTTTTCCCTCCCTCCCAGTTGCTTCAGATCAGCATGTTCTCTGAGTGTATATGGATTGATTTTGGATTTTTGTTTGTGAAGGGACTTTCTTCTACCACAAAAGAGTTTAATTTCTTGCCCGGTTCATTCATTAATAGCTTTGGGAAGCTTCAACATGTTTCTCTGCCTTCCTTGACGAAAAACAAGTTAGTGTTAGGCAAAAGCCTTGGAAGATTGAGTAAGTCTATTTTGCTTAAGACAAAGTAGTTCATATTTGTGTTTGAATTTGCTGATGATATGACGACTAGATTTTAACGAACGACCAATGAAATTGTTGGCCTTTTTCTTGATTCTGCTTCGGTTCAGTTTTCTGCAAAACAAAATTCAGATACGGATTTGAAGTGTCAGGCGCCTAGTTCTCCAATGGAGACATGATATCTGAATATCTTTTATCCAAGTCAACGCCCTAAGATTGGGCTGTTTGAAGAATTTTATCCAGATGTCATGTTTTAATTGGAGAACTTGACAGCAGACGTCTAACTATGTTTTTCTGAATCCAACAAAGTTTTCACGGTTCATTGTTGATTTTATACTAAAGCTTCCATAGCATTTATCTGACCCATCTTCTAGTTTTCTGTCAGGGAGACTAGAGAGAGTAAAAAGAGAAGACTCAGAGAGTATGTTGAGCAGTGAGAGCATTGCACTGGATGAGCAGACTTTGGAGGAGGAGCTGCATAATGCCATTGCAGAAGAGAACTATGCTAAAGCAGCAGAAATCAGAGATGCTCTGAAGAACCTTCAGAAAGACATCAAGACGACTGTATTGGGAGCCAACAGCCGGTTTTACGATTCATTTAGGACTGGGGATCTTGCAGCAATGCAAGCTCTTTGGGCCAGAAGGGATGAGGTATGTTGTGTCCACCCTGGTTTGAAAGGAATATCTGGTTATGATGATGTTATAGAGAGCTGGAATTTTGTGTGGGCCAACTATGAATTCCCGTTGGAGATTAAGCTAGAAGACATTAAGGTTCATGCTAGAGGGGATATGGGATATGTCACATGCATGGAATTCGTAAAGACAAAAGGAGGAAGATGGGGAGGACAGTTTGTGACAAATGTGTTTGAGAGGATTGATGGCCAGTGGTTTATTTGTATTCATCATGCTTCCCCAATAGACTTGTGAATTCTTCAAAGTTTACTCCTGACATTCTCTTTCCCAATTTTGCTTTGGGTTTTGCTGATGCTTCACTCTCATACTCAGAAGAACTCACTCATTTTTTAAGCTACACGTGCGACATGGCCTTACTGTACACATAATCTGTAACAGCTATAGCATTTTGATGAATAAATGAATCCATGCTGCATCTGAACCTGCCTCGTACAGTTTTGCTCTGTCATGTCGTGAAATGAAGTTTAAAATATTGAAGTTCAATGATTTTGTTTGTCGTTCTTCCTTCGATCTATCCGATCATTTGAGCTCAGATAATGAGAGTGGCAGTGTCCCATTTTGTTTGAGTCGGGTATGATTCTACTCGCTGGCTACAACAATGAGTTTATCTTCTTTGGGAAAGATTGATCTTTGCTTCTCTTCCATAACGACATGGAGGGAAAAGCACGATTTTACTGATAAAATTTTGCTCAGCTCACCTCGCATCATTCAATGTTTCTACTTTATAGATTGGGGTTGGGCACCGCCGCACCGGCATTGCATCAGTCAAAGCACACTAGCTTAAGATTCAATGCGTAAACCGCAACTGGACATGGTTTTGATCAAGTTATCATATTTTCATTTGATATTATTTTTTTTGTAAGTTAAGTAAAAAAGTAATCTTTAGTGGATAAGAGGGAAAGAAAGTTTCACGTTGGAACTTGGAATCAAGATTTCACATGAATATGATGAAACAAGATACATTCCATTCAGCCAACAAAACTAATTTAGTTGGTAAGAAGATAATTCATAGCCTGTAAAGTTGTGACTTGTGAGTCCAAATCCCGCTGTCTATGTAAGAATCTTATTGATGATCAAATTATCCCTCCGTAAATGTTTTTTGAGCCAAAATCGCAACTTAAAATCAGAGTCTCAATTCATTTGTTTCGTCCTATCATGATTTTATGATTCCGTGAAATGCAAATGACTCGTTGAAATTTGGAATGGCCAGTTAGAATGTTGGCGCTTAAATTTTTCCTTATAAAATTATACAAATGCTCCCTACTAAACGCCTTTAAACAAAATTCATCAATATGATAATGCGGGGCATAGCCTTTTCCTACCTTCCGATTCTCCGTATTATTTCCGCTTTTTTCTGCCAACATAACCTGTGCTTGCTTGCAGACGAATTATGGAACAATGTTTTTAAAGGAATCATATCTTCTGTCATGTTCATCAGCTCACACTTTTAATGTCTTCCTTCCTAAACATATGTGTGCGCGTGTATATATATACAAGTCACTCTCTTCCCCCTACACGCACATCGCGGAGATAATTACAAGAGGAAGAAAATAACTCCAAACAACGCCATGGAAGCTGCGCCGACGGATCCTCCGTACAACTCAACAGTGGCAGCGAGGCTGGGCCGACGGCGGATCCCGATACACACGACGTTATATTGGGGCCACAAGGCATACGTGCTTTTCCCGTGCTGGCCTGGAGATAACCCCGTCATGTACGGTCTGTCTTTGGTGCTGGTCTTCACCATGGCTGTGCTGGTTGAGTGGCTTTCTTTCACGGATATGGTGAAGTTCAAGCCCGGCAAGAACGACGTCGTTGCTGGGGTGCTCAAGACGGCGATCTACGGCGTTCGAACCGGCCTCTCCTACATGGTCATGCTGGCCGTCATGTCATTTAACGGCGGCGTGTTTGTCGTCGCCATTGTCGGTCACGTCATCGGTTTCCTGGTCTTCGGTACTCAGGCGATCCGGAGAAAGAAGGCCGGGTCCGACCCTGGTAAGACATCCGACTTGTAGTAACTCAGACAGGTCGATCGGCAATGGCTTCCCTCGTAATCCATCTCTTCCCATGTCTGGTTTTTGTTGTAACCTTTCAAGAATTGTGAGCTGCCAAGAAAATGAAATCTAACAATAATTTATTTGTGCTTATGATCAAATCTATTCTCTCTGTGTAAAGCGCTTGAAAGAAAGTGAGACACCAACTTTATTCTTGTCCAAGCCAAAAGCTTCACTCTTGCCGGAGAATCACCCACATGAATGACTGTGGTGTTATTTGAATGAAAACCAAACATGATTTTAAAAATATTTTTACGGTATATAAAATAAATATATGAAGAAGTGTGTCTTGTCATCTTGCCAAACACCCTTTTAATCACCAAAGGAAAAGCTGGCTTTATGAAAAATTAATCACAATATTTAAAGCAAACAACTGGCAAATTCACTCAAATTATAAGTGCAATAATCATAATCAACATACACTAAATAGTATGAAGGTTCAAATAATCGAAACGCATACCTTTTAGCTTGAGCAATTATATTTAAATAACATACATTTGAGGGGCATCGTGTGCAGCTTCATGTGAATCCTCTGGTGAGTTCGTCCCATCTGAACCTTCATGTCTTTTATCTTCCTTCTTGCTCACGCAAATGTTTTATGGTAATATTTTTCTTCATACTTTTATATGTACTATATTGATTTTATAATTATCATGGACCTTTTTCACAATTTCAATTTTTTAAATTAAGTTCATGTTAAGTAAAAATAACAGATCACCGTCTGGGGTTACAGTAAAGAATAACTAAATCCCCCTCAATGAAATGGGAATTATGAGGCGACGGATTTACGCATTCATTACTTCCACGGTTCTGCACTTTACACCCGTCCTGAGTTGCAAAAAGAGACTTGGAACACAATGCGCCCATACAACATGTTGAATCCAAATCTAGTATACATTTTAACCTTTCGAATGACGGTATTTCAGACATAAACGCGGGGGATACATAAACTGAAGTCGATCGCTTAAAGATTAATGCCAGCTATCTAAGTATATAGCTTACACAAGATTGAAGACTCCATGGTATGTAATAACCGGTCTTCAGCTTCTTTAGTTGCTATCTTGTAACTACTAACAGCATTGACTTTTTGTTGAGCTATGTAACCAAGAGAAATCTTTTGCTCAGCTATGAAAGACACTTAACCTTGTGAATGGCTTAGGCTAAAGGAACGGAGGGGAAGTTAATCACTTAAAAATTAATGTTCCAAGGATGTCAGGACTCGTCTTCAGCTTCAGCAGCAGCTATTTCCGAATCCAACTTGTTAATTAGCTGCTCGCTCACATGCTCGGCCACAGATATCATATCAAGAATGATGCTAGGATCCAACCCTGCACCTCCTCGTTTAGTTATACCACAGATGTTCCCTTTCCTATTAACAGAAATGGATACAGCAGAACTCATTTGTGATTCCTCTTCTGAAGTGGCGTCAACAATATAGTGCCTACCTACCTACAATCAAGTGCCAATGTAAGAATTCTTGTCAAAATATACGGTAAATATAGGATGGGAGAGCTATCTAACATGGACATGGTACGGACCACTAACACTGAACCTAACATGATATGTATGTTTACAATGTAATTTTTTTTGTTTTTGGTCAAAAATGTTTACAATGTAATTTAAAGCTTCGTGATATGTCCAATATGAAGGTGAGAATATATATGCAAAAAAAAAAAAAAACACACACACACACAAAAAAATACTGTAAGTGATCGTACTTCATCCTAGTAGATGAGGAGAAGAATATGACCTTAGTCAGGGTAACTATAACAGGGACTGCAGATGTGTCAAACTGCAGAAACTCTTCATCGCTAATGTCAACTTCTGGTTGCTCATCACTTGATGCACCTGCAGCGACCTGGACTTTTGGGATGCCCGTATTGCTCAAAGCAGCCTGAAAGAATAACAGGAATAAACAGGCATCACGTCCTCCATAAATGCCTCTAGCAATGACAATGTATTCTTTAAACCATAAAAAGGAAAATAAATGTGGAAAAATACAAGTCCAATAACTGTTTTCGGTATTGTATTTGTTTTGGAAACTTCTGAGCATTGCCAGATGCTACTACAAACAAAAGGTTATTACATTCCACAACTTTTCCGCTGTCAAGATACGCGTCCTATCATCAACAGCTCAAAATTGATGCACGGAAAAAATTTGATAATTAATAAGCATCAATTTTATCAGCGTAACGGGACAATAAGAAATACTAATTTGCAGTTGTGTGCCAAAAACTGAACATCGTCGCCTTCCAGGCTCACAATAGCTTGAACAGTAAAGACTGCTACCTTAATGGAAGCTCCTAGAGCATCCAACAAATTTCCATCTGAGCTGACAACGAGCCCGTCAATGTAAAGATCCCAACAAATTTTTCCCTCCACAACCACCAGCGAGGAGAGATCAATTCCAGCACCTAAGAAAATAGCCTAGCAGTTAAGAGCAAGAATTCAAATTTCAATAGAAAGAAATAATACAGGAGGGAAAGCATATGGTAAAATGAATACAGACCTGCTCCACTTTTACCACCCAAGAGACACGTTGAAGAGCATTTGACAGTTCTGTTGACAATTCCTCACCTCCTCTACCCTATATTGAAGTATAAAGGGATAAACAGGTTACAGGTGTAGCCCCAAAAAAAAAAAAAAAAAACAAAGATGCTTATATTAACTGAATAATGACAAATAATGTCCCCTAGTTCGTGCGAACCTGAACCCTACTCCCCTGGTAAATTTTCAGCGATGGTTGCTTTGTTAAAATGCTCATGGGAATTGAAGTTAAATTATATGATTAGCAGAGTTGAATATAAAACCTCAAAAGCTGGTGCTGCAGTGGGGCTGCAATCGATATGTATAGAGACTTTCCCTATGTTAGGTTGCAATGAGCTTGGCTTTCCTAATTCAGCCTGCACTTAGGCCAATACATATCATGGTTTAGTAAAATGGCTAAAAACAAGCTTAAGTGGCTAATACAGTGATACAAAAGGAAGCTGAGTCCTAAAGCAAAAATCTGTCCTAAAACCATAAAATACCTTCACACTGGCAATGACATTGGTGGCACCCATTCTGACTCTTGCTGAACCATTTGCCTGCCATGAAGTCCATCAAATGTAGAAATTAATACAACATAGAGCATGCAAAATCCACATGGTCAGGCAGCCATGAAAAACCCTAGGGTGAAAAAGTCAGATTACTCTTTCAATTCATTCATGCACCACCTGAGGAATAACACCGGTTTCAACATAGATGGGTCGATACGTCAGCCTCTTTCTACCATCAGAGCGGATGTCCTGAGCAATACCACCTTGTATGAATTGCTTTTCTCCAAGGGATAGACCCACCATTCTTGCACATACAAAAGTTGTGCGAAACCTTTGACACTAGTACAGACTGGAAATCTTCACACATCAAGAAACAACAGCTTCCCTTAATATTAGATCATCAGGGTCATATGGGAGGGGTTCAAAATTTCAAATCCCCTACTCATATTCCCACTCAAACTTATTAGAGAACTTGAACCCACATAACTACAAAGTATGTATTTCCATGAAAACACAATAACAATAAACTTAAAATGCCTCGTAATAGAGAAAGTAGAGAAAACATTTACAACGAACCCAAATATTCATTCCCAGTAGTTACGTAACGACTAATTAAAGATTTGTTATGATAAAACCGATATAGGTAGCATCAGCAAAATTGTCATTTATACTACAATAAGATCATCTTATAGTAGTATAAGCCAACAAAAAGGAAGACAATTGCATCAGTATTTGATACAAAAATACGGATACAGAGCACAATTCATAACAGACCAGCTGATACAATTGATGCATAAGAAAATCTGCCTAAGACAAAAAAGAAATTAAAAAAGAAGACACAACAAATCAGCAGCTAGGATTGATTTCATCTATTCACAAGCCAAAAAGGGTCAAAGCAGAATTTTATAGTTACTTTGTTCACTTTATTCATTGTCTGTCTTCCCCAACATATTCAATTTTGAAAATGACTTCTCCATCCGTCCCTTCTTTTTTAAAGCCAGACATCCTTAAAGATGACTTCCATATATGTGTATATGCGCGCTAAACAACTTGAACTCAAGCTTCATATATAATATATAAAAGAAATATCAATCAATTAATGTCTTAATGAACCATCAGTTACAATGAAGAGAGTAGTTCCAGCAAACAACAATCTTGATATAAACAATTAAACACGAAAGTTCCTAACTTCGACTCAAAATAGAAAAGTATAGCATCAGTTACGGCGGAGGCCCATAGTATCAGCTGTAATTCACAAGCCTTATTCAACTTATTCATAAGAAAAGTTCCTGGCTTTGACTCAAAACAAAATTTTACGCTCACCCCAACGATTTCTATCCACTAACTTCCAATTTTTACCTCAAGCTTCAAAGCTATTTTATTATTGTCGTCCATATAATTAACTATCAGCATCCACACTTATTAAAAAAATAGAAAGAAATACAACCTGAGATGAAATCGACGAGAGACAGAGAGAGCACCTGAAACGAGTGGCGCGGGGAGACTGAGAAAGAATTAAGGAGGACAGACGGACGAGGTAGACGAGAGTTAGTGTGCACTCGCGTTGATGTGTTCCCGTCTGAGATAGATGACGGACGTGAGACGGAGTGAGCAATCGAAAGCTTGAACTGAAATGAGAGATGGAGATTGCAGAGAGATGGGGAGAGAGGAGGGAGTCGCTGCTATCGCTAGACAGTGGAGACTTCGAGTGAGCGGGCAGAGCGGCGAACAAAAGAACCAGGGACGCGGCTTCTCTTCTTTTCCCTAACCATCCGCTGCCCTCCTCCCTCTACGGCTCTACCCTCAAAGTTGCAGCATTTTGAGTGAAAAACAAAAATTCACTATCATAAAATAACATGGCACTTCGAATTCGATACGCGAAAATCTTTCAAAACAATTCGATTATGTATCGAAAGAGTGGTACGAGAAAATGGGTATATCCGATTGAGTATTGTAAATGAATTTTTAATACACTTACTACTTTAAAATATTTTTCTAACAGTACTCAATGTCTAACTCTCTGTGTCTTTTAATAGCCTCCAATATCCTAAAAATTTTTCAGTAATACCCATTATATTAAAGTATTTTTCTAATAACACCTAATATCATAAATTAATATTTAGTATATCCAACACCTTAAAGTAATTTTTTAATAGCATTTAGTATCTTAAAGTAATTTTTCATAAAATTTAGCTCAAGATACTTAATAGTTAATGCTACTAAAAAAAATACCGCAGTATGTTAGATATTGCATAGAAGATGTTACTAAAAAATATTTTAACCTGCTAAGTGAACCAAAAATTATGTTACAATACTGAGTGCTACTAAGAAATATCTTAGAATGCTGGGTGTTAAATATTGAGTGCTACCAAAAAAATATTTTACCTTGCTGAGTGTATTAACAATTAATTTAGGATAGGAAATGACACTGAAAAAATATTTTTAAGGTATTAGATTTTTTTTTAAATTAAAAAAAAAGCACCCTCCTCCAAGGAGGGCAGCGGATAGCAAGAGAAAAGGAGTCCACTAACAAGAAGGAGTGGCTAGGGCAAATGGAAAAAATAATAGTTAAAATATATTATATATTTATATATTACGGGCAAAACCAAACAAGCAGGGCTCTATACTGTGCCCACAGCCTAATCCGGCCCATGATATGCCCAGCCCAAAAGTACCTCTTTTGTTTTTGCCGAGTTGGGTGAATTTTTTTCAGTTTCGGGTTGCTTGAACGACCGGGCATCATGAACACCCCTAATAAGATGAGCATGTATTAGTATATAATATATTAATTATAACATAATCTTACACTAGCCCAAAGTGATTAATTGAAAATTCTAACCAGAGTTCAACTCTCAAGTCCCATCCTTCAGCACGCCGGTGACAAAGGAGAAGTTGCAGGGTATGAGACACTTTTATCTTCAGTGTTCTCTAGCAGTCAATGAGCTATGGCATAACACAAGGAATGTTTGTTATTTCATCTACTCCCACACAGGAATTAACACAGGGGATAACATAAATAAAGCAAGTTAACAGCATCTAAATTTACCCGTCAAAAAAAATAACAAAGAAAATGAAAAGGGAGGAAACTAGTAAACAGGGGAAGACTTCAAAATAGAAACAAGTTACGAATATGAATGATTACAAAGATTCGGATAATCAAGAAGGTCAAACTTAATTTGAGTAGATTAAAAAAATAAATTAAGTTAATTATTTGTAATAAATATGTATTATCTTTTTTAAAATATCATTGATAATCAAGTTTATTACTAGAACTCTCATTATTATAAGGACTATGTAGGAAAAAAATATATATAAATATGAGAGATAAAATGGATTAGAATTCTAAAATTATGACCAAAATAAAAATCAAACAAAATTTTATATTAAAGATTGGAGGTAGTAATTAAATAAGGGAGATACAAGCCCTATTTGGTAGAGCGTTAGAAATCACTTATAAACACATTTCACATAAACTGTAACAAAACTTTTCTTATATGTTTATCTCAGTATTTCGTAAATCATGATTTAAAAAGTTATTTATAAACTAATTTAAATTGGACCTCGGTTTTTGTCAATTTCAGGTCTGCAAATAAGGCGGACGCACGTCCAAAAAGGAGGAAGAAGATAACCAATCCTTAGCTAGAATATCGGCCACGAAGTTCTGAATTTGCATGTTCACCAGACCGCTCGCCAACCTTCCGTCTGACTCCAGGACTACCTTTCTGTAACCTATAATAGCAAGCTAGACGGGGTTTTGCCATTTAAAACTAAAAGGGTGTTTGGATGCCCTTAAATCACTTTTCAGAAGCACTTTTTGCAAATCGAGGCAATCTCCTCCACATATTTGCTTCGTATACCGTAAAAGTACTTCTGAAACTATGGTTTTGATCTTATCCAAACACCCCTTAAATATTTTAAACAAAAATGCTGATAAGCTAGCCCGTTTTCAAGCCCATTCTTTAGGGTTTTAAAGCCCAAGCCCAAAGTACAGTTTTTTATAAACCCCTCATTCTTGGAAATCAGGCCGACCCATATTCGCCGCTCCAACTGAAAAGTTCATATATACTACCTCTGGTTCTCATTATAGACTTCTTGTTTATACAAATCCTTCAAACCCTGCACTCGTCTATGGATGAAATTCTGGGAAATTTGCAGCTTTGGCGGCAATGAATCTGTAGGCTTTATCTTTTGGATTAAGTTAATTTGATGAATGATTGGAAGCTTTCATTTAATCAGTAGCTAACTGGAGACTCTACATCACGAATCTGGTTATATGCCCTCTGTTTTTTTCCCCCTTTTTACTCATAAATTTATCGCAATTCACCATCTCCGGCAATTATTTCCAGGTTCACGACAAAGCCTGTTTGATGGATTTCGTTATAATTGGATAATGATTATTGGGTTTTTTCCCGTTGCCATGAATTCGGCTTAGTCCAAGGATTGTTTCATGAAAATATTACGTACTAGTATTATAGTAAGTATTTAATAATGTGAATCTGCTGAATGTAGCATGGGGTTTTCGTATGATTTGGTTACTGTTCTTTTCAGAATTTTAGCGCTGACTCCTGTGTCTTTTTTATTCTGAATCAAACGCAAAGCCAGGTTAGTAAACGCAGATTCTCTCTTTCGATTACTAATGGCTGATTTTGCATCATCTTATCCTTTGTGAAATTAGTTTAATACTAATTCTTAATATAAGATCTCATTTAATTTTTATTTTGTTCTTATATACAAGACTCCAATTTAATTTATCTTTCATATTTATGTATTTTTTTAAGATAGCTCTTCTAATAATGATAATTCTAGTTAATATATTTAATTAGCAAAGATATTTTTTTAAAAAATTTATTTATTATAATAACTAATTTAATTTCTTTTCTTAATCTATTTAAATTAATCAACTAGGACTAGAGGTAATATGCTATAGCAGCGCATCCCTAGAATTTTAAGACATCCAAAAACTCTAGAATATCTAGCTTTTTTTGGACTGACTAGAATATCTAATTTTACTTGATCTTCAATTAATTCGTGTTTGTTGAGGAAAAGAATATCATGAGCCAATCAAACTATAATATTCATGAATTATGAAAAGTCGCGCGGCTTATAAATTGTGGTAAATAGTGCGCTTAATTAAAAACAGAGCTGTAATTATGAAAGTCATTTGTTTTTTTCGCTCAAAGGAAAATTTAGAAGTTAATCAAACCAAAATATAGTTAATCTAATTAAAGTGGTGTTTGGATTAACTTATTGGAAATAATTTACAAGAATTTTGTTTTAATAAAAGACGGCCAAATTCCCTGAGCTGGTCGTTTAGGTTATCTTTTCTTTTAAAAGGGGGTGCCGTCAGCAGTACAGACTACAGACTACAGAGGAGCCGCCAGCGTGAGAGAGAGGGCGAGAGGTGAGTTTTGGACAGAGATACGATATCTGCTGCCTTTGCAAAATGTGCAGATATGAAAACGACTTATTAGCACACTTTATTTTGTGACACGTGTAAAGCTCCCAATGGTGGCCGAACCCAAGCCCAATTGCAGAGGAGACTTGCCTCACAAGTAAAGTCTGCCCCAGACACTTCTTCCCTCTGGAATCTATCCTTCCCATGAGCCTTCCCCCCTCTTTCCTTTTCCTACCCCTTTCATTTAATGGGTTCTTTGATCAATAAGAGTGGTACTCATTTCATTATAAAAATATAGAGATGTCGTTATAGCCAAAAAAAAAAAAGGCAAACCATAAATACTGCGTACAGTTAAAGGGAGGCTCATAATTGAAGCCCTAACCCTAAGGGGTTCAGTCAGTGTGAGTAGACATTACACCAGATATCAGTCTGAGTAGACATTACACCAGATATCCAGCTGCCACCGTCTTGGGCGGAGCAAAAGGGCCATATTTTAATGCCCATTTTTTAAAAATAACAGAGGGCTCCTTCTCCCCCAAGTTATTTTTTGGCCTTTTGAGTTGTTCCTTGTTCATTGCTCGCATAATCACTGAGAATTACACCAGCACCTCCAGTGGGCAGTGGGAAAAACACTTTTAACAGTTTAAAGATGAAATTAAATCAAACATTTTTAATCCATTCAAATCTTAAGATTCTCGTTGGGAAAAGGAAGAGACAGAGACAAAAACTCACCCGATGACCCAGTGAGAAATGAATCAAAAGGAAATTGGAGGACAGAAAAATTGATAAAATTCCATATATTATTAATATAACTAATGGGTGAAACAGGAACAGAATCAGAAATTGGTGACATAATTTTTGTGCCACCGATTCCATTGTGACGCAACAATAGAAAAGGGAGCGTATTTTGATGAGACAAATAAATCTCCCTGTCACAAAATGCTGAAGCTTTCCCTTAATCCTAACTGGCTTTATCTTCAGATTAAAAAAAAAAAAACTGGCTTTATCTGCTTCGTTAGCTTGGCTTGCCAGTTGCTTATTATCCGCACAACAAAACAAGGCAGAAGTCATATTATACCATCCACTGCTTTTGTCCTCGCCTTTGACTACCCCGAGCCCATCAAAAAGAACAAAAGTTACTGCTATCACTGCAGCTACTGCTGTGCTCTTCAGCTTTAACCAGACACCCTTCTGAACCCTTTATTTTATGCTATTTCTTCTTCTCTATAACACTATCTGTTCTCTAAAACACCTAATTCCTAATGACGCTTTCCTAACCCAAAATTAATTAGTTCCTACAGCAAACCACTAAAGCCAGTTCAGTTCAGATTAGTAAGACCATTCTGGGGGAAGTCGGATCTCGTTGCTCGCTGACCGCTGCTGTGGCCGAAGGTAGCCACTCTGTTGAGGAAGGTTATGGTTATTACGAACCTTCGGGACATGCGCATCTGCAAAAGGCACAGATATTTCAATCCCAACAACCAACTAATCGTTGGAAAAAAAACAATTAGGGGTACATCAATTTGAGTTTAGGAAAAGAATGCCAAGATCTGATTACCACTGTCCATGGGGGAACAACCATTAAAACGAGCTTGATATGGAGGCTGGCCTCCAATCACCTCGTCGAACTTTAGATTCAGGGCCTGCATAACTCTAGCCGGAACAAGCACAGTCGAACAAGCTGCAGAGAGAAAAAACCACACTCAATGAATACAAAACACAACTAGAATTCATACTAACAATCATTACCATCAAAGAAAATTAAATGCCCACCACCCATGCGACAGAGATTAACGACAAACAAAGCCATAAAACAGGGCTTCAATGCGACCAATTGCAAGAACTTTGATGATATTCATTGAAGCTAGTTGAGAAAGCAAAACTTCACCTGGCTTCCTTCGTGATTCCGCAGGATTGTCAACACGACGAGGCAAGAAGACACCGGTTCCAGCACTTTCCCTTTTACCGGCAGGGTTCTCAAGAAAAACGGCTCTCATTCCAGACCCAATCTGCTGCTGCTTCGCCGGCAGCAGCGAAGGCCATACCGATGAAGACAAACCAACAGGCCGACCGGTGTTTCTGCCGCCACCAACAACCTCGCTACTCCTCACTTCTCTGTTTGAGAACGCTTGCTTACTCTGCCTCTGTTGGTTAAGCACACTTTCAGAAGCCACTTTTGCCATCTGTTGCTGCCTCAGCATCTGAAACTGTGACAGGTAAAACACAAATTAGGCACACGCATAAGCAAAAAATGCGAAACAAGGCTATTAACTCATAGAACTACGGCTGTTCGTACTTGAGCTATCTGCAATTGCTGGTGAGAAAGCCCTGTTTGGTTGTAAAATCCAACATCAGGATTGAAGTTCTTCACAGGTAAGTTCACGGGAGAGGGCTTTCTGGAAGGAGGTCCCAAGAGCCCTCTTTGATGGTTAAAATCATAGCCAGCTTCATTCATCTTCATCTTCTCCACTTCCCCAACGGCTGCGCGTAGTAGATCCCACGTTGCCCCTGGAGACGATACCTGATAAGCACTAGTGGGGCTACCATGGCTAGAAGAACCTTTTCGGCATCCGCACTCACTCCCGAATGTGCACAGAGTGGATTTAGGCGAACCAGATACAAACATACCCTAAAGCAAAGAAAAACTTATTAGCGCGCAATATATAGCGAAAGGCAATCAAATAGAGACTAATAAACTGCTTCATACCTTGGATTTGTCAAGACCGGGGCCGAACTCCGACTCCAAATCGAGGGTGGAATAAGCCATACGCCGAGTTAACGCCACCATATGTTCTTCCTCATCGCTCTCCGTTTCGCTTGAGCCTACCACAGACTCCACCGGAGAACTGAAGTTAGAAGGAACTCCACGGGACACATATCCGTACGGGAACTCGGAAGGGAACAGAGTCTGAAAAGGTTCGGCGTCGTTGTTCTTTGGCTTGCCGAAACAGCCATGCTTCTCCATAACTAAGTCATCGTCGGCGAGGATCTGCGGGGGCAGCCAGAACTCACCGTCGTCCAAATTCTCGGCCATGATCAAACAGTAGAGGATTAGCAGGAATCAGAATACTCGAAGCGACTAGAGAGAGGAAGACAGTTTGAGAGAAGAGAAAAATCAAGGAGGAAATTTCGAGTGCGCAAATGGAACGCGGAAAATGATGAAGGAGGATTGCTGCTTGGTGAAGATTTAATAATAACAAGGAGCAGAGGCCTGGCATGCAGGATATGCAGAGTCACAGGGCCCCATCACAGCCAAAAAGCAAAAGACGCAGAGAAGAGAGAGGGAGGGATGGATCCGAGAGGGGATCTGAAACTTTTCAACGAAACAGAGCCTCTTTTCAACACAGCACAAAACGGTGAAACCGTTTTCCGTATTGAAAAAAAATAAAGAAAAAGAAAACTAAATAAAACAGAGTGAGAGAGTGACTGTGTGAGCGACTGAGCGTTGAGCCGTAAACTGTAGAGGGTATTTGCAGAGAGAGAAAGGACAGTGATATGAAAACGACGCTCTTGTATGAACGTGTGTACCACGCTCCACCATGCAAGGAGGGGGGAAAGAAAAAGAGCAACGGTTTTTTAAATGAGAACAAATAAAATTTTAATTATTTACAATTTTTAAAATATGTTTTGGTTGTATTGTTGTGAGAAAATAATATATAACAGGGAAAAATTATAAGTATCTTTTACTTCTAATTAGAAATTAGAAACAAGTGCATTCGGAAAAAAAGAAATTACAAACAAGAGAGGTCCTTATAACTTAAATGATGATGATTGTATTCTTATTTGAAATAATTTATAAATAGATTTTTAATTATAATTTATAGAACATGATACAAGTATGTGAGAAAAATTTTCTTTCCGTTTATTCACACGCTTATAAGCACTTTTTGACATAATTTCAAATATGCTTATTTTTCTACAAGTAGTCTTAACGATTTATAATACATTCGTCTAACATAAAAAGAATAAAATTTAAAAATTATTAGATAATTTTAATTTGAACTTTTGCAATTAGAATGTGTGTTTATTAGATTTTTACTAGAATACAATAAAGTTATTTTAGAAATTTTACGACATGATATGAGAATTACCTTCAAATTTAGCACTAGTATTTCACAAAATTGGTATTGGTGATGGTAGAAAATCCAAAAGTCATGAAGAATAAAAATTTAAGGAAAAAATTATTTCAGTTTCTTAAATTTTTTTGAGTCTCAAACCCCGGATCTGAGAAAAAAACATCTTTTGTAATGGGCTAAGCCACGAACGCCAAAACAAAAACAATAGGATTAGAAAAAATATCAGGTACTGGATGATGATTTTATATATATACATATATATATATATGTAAAAACATACAAAAGCTCTAACAGGTAACAACAAATAACATTCCCTTACATGCCAATTCAGAGGATGACAAGGATTGGGGAATACAAGAAATTACAGTAGAGTGGAGCAAATGCCCATATTTCTGCAATGCATCAATTTACTTGTATTATTTGCTTCTGACAAATAGTACCAACTCCAGTTTAATAAAAATCAATTAACTAATTTAAGTAAATTAAGAAAATTAGTTAAATAGTTATTTGTAATAAATAAATATTATCTTTTCTAAAAATAATCCTTACTAATCAATTGTATTACCTAAAAATATTATTTACGTTTCGGTTCTTAATATATGACATATTTAACTAAGTTAATTAGATTAAAAAGTTAGGTAAGTTAGGTAATTATAAGAAATATGACATGTTTTCCCTAAAACACTTAATTATCTTTCTTAATGTCCTCCCTCCTCACTTATTTAATTATGATTGAAGAAATATCTAAATATCTATAAGGGTAGTATATAAAAAATAGGTTTTATATATGGTCAAAATTAACTTAACAGTTAGGTCCTATATTAAGAACAGGAAAAGTATTACAAAAAACTATCTTGAAAAAAAATACAAGACACAAAGTGGATTAGGATCTTATATTTAAATCAAAATAAAAGTCAAATGAGGTCTTATAACTATGACAGACAATGTAGTAAAAAAAATAGTGGTGGCAAAAAAAAAACTAATTTTTGTTATTATTTACAAATTTAATATTGTCAAAAAGCCACTAAAGTGTTGTTACTAAACTTTGTTCAGGATTTAGTAATTTAAAGATTTTTTTTAAGAATCTCCTGTATAAAATCTAGCTTATAATTCAAATTAAAAGAAAAGCTACCAGACCCAAAAAAAAAAAAAGAAAAAGAAAAGCACAAATAATACTAAGAACTGGGGGCAGCAATAGTTTTTACACATTCATGAACCGCTCGGGAACCTTTTTACCTGAGAGCCGTGTTCTACTTGAATAACACTCTTAGGCATCTAAATGGGGAGCATCTATTGAAAATTAGCCCCAAAAAGTATTAGTGTAGATGTAGATTACTTTATATATGCACGCAATTAAATTAAAATTTAAATAAAGTCATTTGCGTCTTCAGATATGGCCACGAAAAATCAATTGTGATTTGTTGTGGTCGTATAATTGAATGGGTTTAAATAGAAATATAATAATATTCGTATTATCCTTGTTTGTTTGCCTTAATTAGATTGCATATTCCCAGCAGGGCATGAAGTCTAAAATAAATGTCATTAAAAGTTTATATATAATGAGTGTGACTTCTAATAAATTTCTGTACATGATATATGCCTTATTGATTTTTTATGTAAAACAAGTTTACCTGTGGAACTAAAGAGAACATCTAACCTACAAATACTATTCCAGTTGTTAATATAAAAATTAATTAAAATTTTGATTAGAAATTATACGTTAGAAAAAATCAACTCGTATTTATGATAAATAATTAATTTAATTAATTTTTAATCTATTTTAATTATTTAATTAGTTTTTATTTTAAGATTTGAAAAAAATACTAATATGAAATTGAGATTTTTTCTGGGCCTGAAAATTGAGATTAATTATAATGGTGATGTGGGAGGGAAAAAAAAAAAAAAAGGAGTCAGGGGGGAGGATGCATGTGAGCGGGAGGCGGTGGCGTTCCCTTTTCGGGAGGTGCTATGCTGATTGTCGTCACTGTTCTCCACGACGTGGGAGTCGCGCTGCTTTGTCCCTATTTTTTTAATGCTTTATTAAAATATCTGAGAATAAAATTAATAACATTCCCGAATTTTCTCGTTGACGAATTTTGGATCGTGATTTGCCCGCTTCTCTTCCCTCTCCACTGTCTCCATTGGCACTGTGCCCTTAATCCCTTGCTCCCAAATTTTGTCCCTCCATTTCCTTAATAATAATATTATTATTATTTTTGGCCTTTTGGATGCAGTATGCTTTTTTTTAAAGTATCAATTAGAGATTATTCTATTTGAAACACTATCAAATACTAAATATAAATATATTTCTCAGTAAGAATTCAAATCTTAATTCGTCATGTTGTAAGAGACTAGCTCTTTTATTAACCTAACTCTTATTGATAACACAGTATGCTTTTTCTTCCTCAACCTTTCGATATTTTGAATTTTCTTTCATCTTTGGGCCATCACCGGGCATCCTTTGCTTCCAAGTTCTCTCTCACACATCTGGCCAAAAATTAAAAAAAAAAAAAGTCCTCT